AGCGGTTAAAAGCTAAATAATCACGAAAATTATAAGCTGGGAGATGGATTGTTTGTTGCTTGTTGTTAAGCGCAAGTCTCAACAACGGGCTATTTGTGCTCTGCCCAACTAAGGAAATATAACCATACAATTTTCAGCCCCATGTAGCCAAACTCAAACAGTTTTAATTGTCATCCTTTGCTTTCCACTTCAGTTACTAGTCTTACTCCATAAAATGGCAACCATGCAAGAAAAGATTCAATATTTCGTTTTGCATTGAAAATACCAATAATCACACATTCGCCCTTTGAACTCAGAGGATGTACAGGGGGAATTTCCCCCTTTGTAGAAAGTCCCCTCTGAAGTACAGTATTTTCCATTTTGCCGAATTTCAATTTTACATTCCCTCTTGCCCCAGGTGGAAAGTTATGGATTCAACACTGGTCATGGGGGTTTTTTCCGAGCCCCAAACATTACACGAGCCAGAGATGCGTTGTCTTTATCTATGTGGTCAAGAAGGTTGCGATTTTAACACTGGAGTGAAAAATATAAAACATGACAATAAAAACATTTTAGTTGGGCTACAAGATATTGACAACTGACAAATGAAAAATAAAACATGACAATAAAATATGTCTGAGTTTGGCTACAAGAGGCTAAAAACTGGTTGTATTTCCATAGTTGTTTAATTATTAACCCCCCACTCTCCCAGTGGCACAGCGGAATGTCTACGGACTTATACTGCTGGAAACCGGGTTTCGATACCCGTGGTGGGCAGAGCTCAGATAGCCCTTAGTGTAGCTTTGTGCTTAATAACAACCAACAATTTAGTTATTAGTGTAGTCGAACATATATATTTTAATCGGTAATAATTCATTGCAATTATTTTGAAAGTTTGTTTTCAAACGTATCTGTACGGCAACAAAAAAACTTTTGACTTCAACAGTATTACGTCAAAAAATATCTACCAACATTTGTTGTTGTTTTTTAACTCACAATTCAGTGCTTCTACATTGACAGTGGGTGAAATTGTAGGGCGATTATCATTTCTTTTTTCAGAATCCTCCTGTGATCCAGGCTATTTTCCTTGTAACATCAACGACATCTGTATCGAGCAACGCTCCAACTGCGACGGCCAAGAAGACTGTCCTGATGGGTCAGATGAACTGAACTGTGGTAAGAAGTATAGGCTTTTTTACTGTCCTGATGGGTCAGATGAAATCAACTGTGGTAAGAAGTATAGGCTTTTTTACTGTCCTGATGGGTCAGATGAAATCAACTGTGGTAAGAACTATAGGCTTTTTTACTGTCCTGATGGGTCAGATGAACTGAACTGTGGTAAGAACTATAGGCTTCAAAGCCCTTTCTAGCTATTTTGGCTGTTTAAGTTCGTGTATCTGTATTATCACAGTGAGAAGAAAATAGTGTATCACTTTGTAGCGGAAATACAATCATGTGTGCACATGAGCAGCCTGTGAACTTATGGAATTGACCAGCCACTTGGCCTAATTACATGGTAATTGTGTGAACTTATAGAATGGATCCAGACACTTGGCCTAATTACATGGTAATTGTGTGAATTTATAGAATAGATCAGGAACTTGGCCTAATTACATGGTAATTGTGTGAACTTATAGAATGTGTGAGCTTATAGGATCGATCAGGAACTTGGCCTAATTACATGGTAATTGTGTGAACTTATAGAATGGATCCAGACACTTGGCCTAATTACATGGTAATTGTGTGAACTTATAGAATGTGTGAACTTATAGAATAGATCAGGAACTTGGCCTAATTACATGGTAATTGTGTGAACTTATATAATGGATCAGACACTTGGCCTAATTACATGGTAATTGTGTGAACTTATAGAATGTGTGAACTTATAGAATAGATCAGGAACTTGGCCTAATTACATGGTAATTGTGTGAACTTATATAATGGATCAGGCACTTGGCCTAATTACATCGTAATTGGCAATAATTTGCGTTATAAAGACCTCGCTAATTATGATGACACTTACAACCATTCGGTAAACTTGAGCTTTCGACTCCCCTGGTGGCAATCGCTCGCGTGCAATCATAACAACAGTACCTAAGCAATAGTATAGAGTTGGTAACAAGAGGAAATCCTTAATAGCCGTGAAGCTTGAAATTGCTTTAAACAGGCTTAGAGTAAATTAATGTGAGACCTTTTCTGCCTGTTTATTAGCTATATTTTTTGTGCACTAGCAATACCAAGCGTGGGGCGCGCGTATACCAGATTCGATTTTATTACTCATCAGGATCTCTACCAGCCTACCCTCAAATTGAAATTATTTTAAGCAGGATTAGAGTGAATTGATCTAGGAGACCTTGGGCATGATCAAATACATCAATCGAAAGGGTATGATCTCTTGACTCGTAAACTGTAATTAGATCTCATTTCGGTCAATAGATGACGGAACTATGAGCTAAAAAAACTCTAACGGTTTCTATTGTAAAAAAAAACTTCAGCGCTTTGTGTTGTAAAAAAACTCAAGCGCTTTGTATTATACAAAACTCTAGTCTTTGTGTTGTAAAAAAAAACTCTAGCGGTTTCTATTGAAAAAAAAATATCCAATGCTTTGTATTGTAGAAAAGTCCAGGGTTTTGTACTGCAAAAAAAAACAAAAAAAAACACAACAAATCTACAGTTTTATATTTTTCCGCAGCTAAAAAAAAATCAGTATTTCTTATACCACCTGTAGTTCCCTGGTGGCTGTTGATAAAATTTCAGTATTTGTTATGCTACCTGTAGTTTCCTGGTGGCTGTTGTTGTAAATTTAGTATTTGTTATACCACCTGTAGTTCCCTGATGGCTGTTAATGAAAATTCAGTATTTGTTATACCACCTGTAGTTCCCTGGTGGCTGTTGATGAAAATTCAGTATTTGTTATACCACCTGTAGTTCCCTGGTGGCTGTTGATGTAAATTCAGTATTTGTTATACCACCTGTAGTTCCCTGGTGGCTGTTGATGAAAATTCAGTATTTGTTATACCACCTGTAGTTCCCTGGTGGCTGTTGATGTAAATTCAG